TGACCCCGCTATTCCACTGCTGGGGATCTTCCCCAAAGAATTAAAAGAATCATACCACAGTGATATATGTGCACCCATGTTCATAACAGCATACTTTGTGATAGCTAAAACTTGGAAACAGCCCAAATGCCCATCAACTAGAGACTGGATAAAGAAAACGTGTTTTTTAAAAATAAAATGGAGTACTACTCAGCCATAAAAAATGAGAAATTAGATATTTATAGCTAAATAGATGCACATTAAGGCAATACTCTTAAGTGGAATAAATAGGGCACACGTGTAAATACGAATAGTTTCTCTAGTGTAACTGAAAGTGTAAATAAGGACTAAAAGGTATAACAGATAATGTGAAATAGGAAGAAAAGGGACAAAGGGGAAGGGGAAGTGGGAGGGGTAGGGGAAAGGAAAGAAGGGAATGGAATATGAGAAACGGAAAAAATGGAAACGAAACAAAGTCTTTATAAATAGGGAGGGACGGAGAGGTTGAAGGGAGGGCAGGGGAAGGGGGAAAAAATAAGAACCAAGCGAGATTATGTAAAGGTGCAAATTTCCAATGATGAATGCCATTATACTGTATATCTAAAATGTACCAATAAAATAAAATTTTCAAAAATTGCCTTTAATAAGAAATTTTAAATTATGAGTAATTTTGTTTAAAGCCCTCTGTTCTGTCCCCTCCCTTCTTTTTGTACTGGTGATTGAACTCACAGCCTTTGCACTGAGCTACACCATCAGCCCTTTTTAATTTTTTGAGACAAGGTCTTGATAAGTTGCTAAGCTGCCCAGGCTGGGCTCAAACTTGCTATCCTCCTGCCTCAGCCTCCCAGAGTGCTGTGATTATAGGCATGGGCATTCACACCTGGCTTGTTTCTTTTGTTATGAGCAAGGACCTATCTTCTTTGAAGAAAAACATTTAATCTTTAAGTTCTGTTATTCATTAACGATTGCGAGAACTCATATGTGGTTGGAAACTGTCAGTCTTTGCAGAGGCATGTGATGAGCAGCAGCATCTAGCATGGCCGTCACAGGTTATTCCAGGTAGAGCTGAGTTTAGAAATGGCTAATGCTACTGAAAGACTGTTATGTGAAGGGTGTGATATTCGTCACAATATCCTGATGAGTTCTCAATTTTTTTGTTTTGTTTTGTTGGGGTAGGGTTTCACTACATAGTTCAGGCTGGCCTTGAACTCACTGTGTAGTCCAGGCTAGCCTCAAACTTGTGGCGACCCTCCTGCCTCAGCCTCCGGAGTGCTGTGATTGCAGGCATGCACCACCACACCTGGCTAAGATCTCTCATAAAAGGGGAAGCTGAGGTCTAAGAGGTTACACAGCTGGGACACAGAGAAGGGAACCATGGAGCAGGCAACGGGCCTCTGGAAACCATGCTTAAAACCACTCCACTGCATTTCAGTCTGGGAATGAGTTGCATGGAACTGGCTGCTGCTGTTTCCAAGTAGTGCCATGGCCAGTGGACAGGCTTCTGCAACCTCACTGCTGCACAAGGGCACTTTGGGATTAGACGCAGAGTAGATGCTGTAGCTGGAAGTTGGCTGAGTGCACAGGAAGTGGGGTTGGCTGCCACAACCTTGCTTTAGCCTGTGCAGTGGGGCTCCGGCTTCTGGACGACAGGATCCAAGCTCATGATGCACAGAATGCAGCCTTCTAGTCAGTGACTGGAACAGTCACCGCTCAAAGACCTTCTGTGTGCCAGTGCGTGGAGCCCCTCAGTCCACATAGCTTCTGTTGAACTCAAGGATGAATGGAATGGGAAGGTCCAGTGCTGAGGTTAGGAATCCTAGGAACGCAGCTTGAACTGCAAAAGCACAGAGGCTGCCCACCAGGAGGCCATTAGTTGAGAAACAAGCACAGCAGATGGGCCTGATGGCGCAAGCCTGTGATTCCAGCACCCGGAGGCTAAGGCAGGAGGATCACTGAGGGTTCAAGGCCAGCCTGGGCTACGCAACAGTAAGTTCAAGGCCAGCCCTGAGATATATAGTGAGACCTTGTCTCAAAAAAAAGAAAGAAAAGAGAAACAAGTACTGCAGCAGCAGCACTGTACTGCAGATGGCCAAGGTCTTTGAGCAAGATACAATGCGTATTGTATTCAGTATTTACAGAGCCAATCCTGGCACTTATATGTGGAATCTAAAAAAAAAAATACAGGAAATACAGTGAATACAGGAAAAATGGTGCTTACCAGAAACAAGGGAGAAGAGGAAGAATGAAGATTTGGGTCAAAGGAAACAAGGCTGTAGATATGTGCAATGAGCTCAAATGTCCAAGAGTAGAGCCGATAATACTGTATTGAATTTGGGGCTTTTGCTGGGAGTACATTTTAGGTGCTCTTGATGCACACACATGGACACACTTGGAGATCATGTGAGAAGATGGGTATGTTAGTTACTTGGCCACAGTAATCATTCCACCATATATTCATATATTTACATATATGTAATGTTATACACTTTAAATAAATAAAAAAGAGAAAAGGCTGATCAGGGCACTTTTTGAGAGGAGAGGAGGGTATTTCCAGCATCTTGAAAGATGTCCAGAAAAAGTTGTTCAAATTTGATACAAGTGCTTTCTCTTTTTCTGTTGAGACAGGGTCACCCTATGTAGTTCAGGCAGGCCTTGAACTCATAGTGATCCTCCTGCCTCAGCCTACCGAGTGCTGGGATTACAGGTGTGTGGCACCATGCACGGCTTTTCAGCTAAAGTGCTTTCTCTTAGAACACTTGGTGAATAAATAAATCTTCCATGTCCATACCTGAAACCCAGCACTGACTAAACTCCTGGCAATGATCACTCCGTTCCTAGAGACCCAGGGCCACTGCTGCTAAAACAAAACGAAGACCAGGCGCAATTCCGTAGAAAGAGTGACCGGTGTCAGTGCAGGCCTCCCTGAGAACCTAGGACACTGGGAAGGAAGTATATACTTACTAAGAATCAGGCCCCAGGCCTCACTTACATTTAACTCAGTCTTCAAATCCCATGCTTCCGGAGCATCTGTACCCACCCTCATTCTCTCGCTAGAACTCACAACACAAGCGAAGGCTATCTTGATTAAATATCTTCCTATTTTGGAATGAGCAGGTATAATTTGGTAATTTGGTTTTATTTAATAAGTAGGGACTGAATTCTTCAGGGAAACAATTACAAACATGAGACCTAAAAAATCTGAGTCTCTGATAAAAGAAGCTGCTGCTATTTATTCAACCTGAATTACCATGATGAATCACATTAGAGTTCAAAAATCAATGACCTCCACACTGAGATCGGACACCACTAGTGCTATTGTTTGATTGTAAGTCTTTTAAAGAACTTCAAAACACACTTTTTAATTTAACACACAAAATAATTTACTCATAAAAATAATGCCTATTTATAGAACTCAACAGAAATTTTCAAAATTTAAAAATAAATAGCACAATTTTGCAATTCTGATTTTATAAGAACATAACCTTTCTGGTATAGTGTTTCATAAAAGAGGAAAGGTCAATCAGTTTGTTCTGCTCTTCACAACACAAATAAGCATTCATACTATCAGTCTTTGGAAATCAACTTGGTGACAAGAAAAATTCACTGCAAATTACAGTCATTTCAAACATGGGGCCTGGTGCCATCTAGTGAGTGGCAATAGCAGTGTCTCCTTGAGTACAGTATGAGCCACAAAGTGCAAGTCGGGATAACACACTATGCTCTCGGCTACATGCAACTCTGCAGGCCTGAAAGCTACATGCAAATGAAAAGCTGTGCTGAGATGGATGGATGTTGTTTTCTTTTTTCTTTACATGCCATGTCACCTCGCACTTTCAAAGAGAAGTGAATAGGTAGTTAAAATGGTTACTGAAAAAAGGCATACTGGGGTAGGGGCTTTGGCAACTAGAGAAAAGAAGTTCCATAACTAACGCTGTTAAACTGTAAGGCAGGAACTCATAGTGTGAAATACCTGTTGGCAGTGCGAGTGGGGGAACAACACATGCCGGCCCTTCAAGTTGTTTTTTTTCAGATAACGCTCCCCAGAGATAATGGCAAGGAACTCACAGGATTGCTTTAAACCAGCCCAAATCACTGCCCACTCTTCTGGGTGACTAAGGGTGAATCTTGCTCAGCATACTGTTTGCTAAATCCTCCACCCTGGAGGCATTCTTATCCCCCATTTTCAAACACACAAGATATGAAGCATGATCTTTAAGTGGACATGCGTAAGAATACACCAGCCGCACGGCTGGGGATATAGCTCAGCGGTATAGCTCTCATTTGGCATGCATGAGGCTCTGGGTGCAATCCTCAGTATGGGGACGGGGCTGGGGAGGAATATCCCCCTACCTCTACACAAGGTCACAAGGGTCTCCAGTGTGAACAGGAATAAGTCTCTTCCATAGAATCCCCGGTTTTTGTTTGGGGAGGGCCACTGCACTGGAAAATATCCCTCACGCTCTCCTTACTTGCTATAAGTTTTCTTCATTTTATTCTTAAAATTTTATTTATTTTTTTGGTACTGGGGATTGAACTCATGACCTTGTGCTTGTGAGGCAGGCACAGTGCCACTGAGCTAAATCCCCAGCCCTTCACTTTATTTTTTAATCTCCTGGTTGTACTTATTGGCTTTGCAATTGCCAAAGGGTGAACCCACTGTGTTCAGTTACATTATATGGAGGCTGATGGAAGACAGTTATGTGGGAGGTATTTACATAGGTCAGTATTAAAAGTTTTTTTTGTGTGTGTGGGTGTTACTGGGGATTGAACCTACTGAGCTATATCCCCACTTCCTTTTTTATTTTGAGAAAGGATCTTGCTGTGATCTTCCTGCCTCAGCCTCTTGAGTAGATGGGATTACAGGCATGTGACACTGTATCTGGTTCAGAATTAAAGAAAAAGCTGGTTTATCTTAAAAAAAATCAACTGAAACTGCCAATAAGGTGGCATTCAGGGATTATTCTTGATAACCACAATGGTCACTTGGAAGCAGAACTCCAAGGACTCTTCTAATTAGTAACAATTACAAACCAACAAAAAGCCAAAACAAAACAACAGATAGAGTAAATTTTTGTTTGGTCACTGTTATGGCTTATATCTAGATGTTCCCCCAAAGCCTTGTGTGCTCATAGGTGGGGCTTTTGGGAGGTGTCTGGATCATGGTTGTGTGACACTGGATTAGGGTGTGTGATAACTAAATCTACTTTGCATTGATCTAGGTGGGGATATCGGAAGCTCCACCTAGGGTGTGGGTGGCACCATCCAAAAGGCTTGTAGCCTGAATGGGATAAAAGGAAAGGGAAATCTGATGCTGCTGCTGCTGCCACCTCCTACCTGCTCTGCTTTGGACTACCATGGACTGTTTCTCCTCTGCAATGCCCTGTCATGCCACCCTGCCCTGAAGCCAGCAGACTTTGGACTAACACCTTTGCAAACTGTGAGCTGAAATAAACCTTTCCTCCTCTAATGTGTGGACGCTGGGTATTCTATCTCAGCAATGAGAAAAGTAACTAAGATAGTCACATTAATTTAACAGGGTCTCTTTAGTAAAAGCATTGCTGGGGGCCGGGGATTTAGCTCAGTGGTTTCGCCACCTGCTACGCAAGCGCAAGGACCCAAGTTGATCCCCAGTACCAAAAAACCCAAAAAAACAAAAAGCATTGCTGGAAGCTGGGCATGGTGGTTCAAGCCTATAATCTCAGCACCCCAAGGACAGGCAGGAGGATTGCCCTGAGTTCAAGGCTAGCTTGGGCTACCTAGTGAGTTCAAGTCTGGAGTGATCTACACAGTGAGACCTTGTCTCAAAAAAGGTAAATTTCTTGTATTTTTATGGACTGGTAAGGTTTGTTTTTCTTTTGGTAGTAACTTTTAAGAATGTTACCTTCCTATAAGGCCAGGTACCCTGAGTACTAAGTATGCCTAAGACATGTTTGTGGTTATCCTTTCCTTTTTTTTTTTTTTAATCCTTTCCTTTTTAACACTGTTTACAAACCATAATTTGTTTCTCATGGGTCTCCCAGAGGAGGGCTGGGCTTTGTTCATTCTATTTATCTCCATACATCCAGCACAGGTAATAATGTCTGGCACACATAAGTGCTTAATATGCAGGAGTTGGATGAATGAATAAACACATGAACAAATCTCATACAGTCCAACTGACCTACAGAGAAAAGGGGTAAGAAACCCTCACAAAAAGACAATAATAGAAGGAAGACAGTTAAGCAATAATACTGCCCACTGGAGTTAGTAGACTTGATGCAAAGCAAAACAAAATTACCATCATTCAACAACTGATGGTATTTGGAGATTCAAAATATCCTAAAGATTTCAACTGCAAGTTAGTATAAAAATGTTCTCTGGAAGACTCATTTACAAATAAGTTAATGTAAACCTGGTTACTATAGCAAGATGCAGTAGCCTAGTGTTTTGTTCAAGCTGGGGCAGACTCTTCTGAATACACCAGGTGAGTGTTCAGGGTTCCATAGAGGGAGTGCAGCACTTTAAGGACCTTTTCTTGAATGTGATCAACTTGTTCAGAAGGACAGTAATCATCTAGACTTGACCTAGAAGGAAGAGAAAGCAAAAGAAAAATACACATTAAACAGGATAAAATCATACTGTACAGAGAGGAAATGTGTGCATGGGTTGACTGCAATGTGAAACTGAAATGCAGGTGAGTTGAATTCTGGAATAACAGTTGAAAGCTACTAAATGTTTATCCTATAAGTCAGGTGCTTTACATGACTTACGCTCTTGAATTTTCTCACCAATTCTATAAAATAGGTATAATTATCATGCCTTTAAAGAAATCTAAACCAAAGAGAGATTCATTTGTGCAAGGTTACTTAGCTAGTAAGTGCTGGTAACAGGTCTGAAACCCAGTGGTTTGTGCTTAACAGCTACAGTCCTAGTCATTTCCCAAGAGGGAGACGTTATTTGAGAACAAAGGAGCCTATGATCTTAGCGGCCAGGCATCTTTATTCTTCTTCTATCAGCTGTATGCAAGAGTGGGGGCTTTCCAACTGATAAAAAGGGTCCTACTTCTAAAACAACTTGTTATCTAGACAAGTATAAAGGATCCATGGCTTGGTCAAAAATAAAATGCAGGATGTGCTGTCGGGATTGTTTCCTAGGCTGCATGGAGGAGAAAGGAGCCGAGTAGGGTGGGGCAGAATCCGCACCTTGGGAGTCTTTCTAGATCTCACTAGGAAAACGTGATTTGCAACGGGCCCTTAAAATATTGCTGCCACTCACAGCTCGATGAAGATGTGAACTCACGTGATCATTGTCACCTGGGTCTGGACTGGGGCGAGGAAAATCACTGGTGCATGGGCTGAGAAGAGTGGCATGGGAATCTTTTTGAAGGAACTGGAATTAGACAGTAGCCTAGCTCTTCAAACAAGTATTTCTGACTTAAAGAAATAATTTGCAAGCAAACTCATTGCATTCTCTAGTGACCAGGTTACTTTTGTGGCTTGAGGTGAAAATTTAAATGTACTTATCACAGTAAGTAAATGATAGAGAACATGTTAAGTTATCAAATACTGACATATACACATGGCTAATGTGTATGTCCTGAAAGTGTCACATATAAAAATATAAAATATTAATTTATAAGTCTTATCAAATATGAGATTTCAATGCTGTCAAAATGATTTCTCACTTCTTTTAAACACTTATAGATGGTTCCGCCGCCTGCCTCGCATGCGCAAGGACCCGAGTTTGATCCCCGGTACCAAAACCAAAACAGAACACTTATAGATGGTTCCTGCTGGGTGTGATGGAACATGCCTGAAATCCTAGCACTCTGGAGGCTGAGGCAGGAGATCTCCATGAGTTTGAAGCCAGCCTGAACTATACTGTGAGACATTGTTTTAAAAAACAAAACAAAACAAAACAAAATGGAACAAAACAGAACGGTTCTGGATGGGAGCTTTCTCCAAGAGGATGTTTAGAAATCCCAAAGTACACTTCTCCCCAATTTTTATTTTTTATTAGTACACGTTTGCAGTACATAATGATTACATTCATCATGGGGAATTGGTGCATGTTATAACACTCTCATTCTTTTTTCATCCCCTTCCCTTCCCTCTACCTCTTGGAGCCCTTCTCATTTGCAAAAGATCTACTTCCTATTATCTATGTTTAGCTCTTTATTTGGATTTTGGATTTCTCATATAAGAGAAACCAAGTGATACTTAAGCTTTCACGTCAGGTAACATTACATTTTCAAGGTGCATCCATTTTCCTAGAAATGACTCAACTTACCCTTCTTTATGGCAGAGTAGTACTCTACTGTATATAAATACCACATTTTCTTTATCCACTCATCTGTTGATGGGCATATAGGCTGCTTCAAAGATTTAACTGTTATGAATTGTGCTGCTATAAACATGGCTATGCATGTATCACTGTAATACGATGTCTTTAACTCTTCCATTTATCGTGGTGGTACGGATTGAAGTCAGGGTCTCACACATGCTAGGCAAGTGCTCTAACACTGAGGTACATCCCCAACTGGGTAGGTATATTTCTGATTGTCATAATTTTTAGAAGAATGCTGTTGACAGTCAGGTGACCAGGACAAGAGGGCTGGGCTGCTAGGAGGCTTGCAAATGCAGGACAGTTGAATATCAATCATTGTCCTGTGTCCTGCATACTTTCAAAGTGCATGAAATATTCACAAATGCAAGAAACTGGTTAATTTATCAAGCTTACAGCTTAACACTTTTACGTATGAACAAAAGGTATTTTTAAAAATGGATTAAATATGAACTAAATTTTCCAGAAGTGCAATTACTCTGTGAATCGAGAAAGGACTGGACTTAAAAGTTTGTTCAGGAATTGGAACAATCATGTCATTATGGTGGCGTGGTTTGTGGTATTTGGTCAATGTAACACATAGGTATCTGTCTGCATTTGTGACTGCTACGTTTAGTGACGCTTAAAGATGGGAGTATGATGTGGCATTTTAATATAGGGAAATCTGTTTTCTGCCTTTCCTAGCTTCCAGCGGCCGCCAGCAATCCACAGCTTGTGGCCCTTATTTTCCATCTTCCAACCCAGCAGTGTAGCACCTTCCACGCATGTACTCTCTCTGATTCTGACCTTCCTGTCTCCCTCTTACTGGGGCTGTTGTGATAATACTGGGCCCACTCAGTTAATCTCATCTCAAAATCCTTCCATTAACCAAGTTCCTTTTGCCACCAAAGATGTCTTGTTACTCAGCCTACTATGCTTACCTTGCAATTGTCACAAGAGTAGGTTTTGGTAATTTTTTCAGTAAATAATACACAGACTGAATAAGATACTCAATTTCTTGTTCTGTGCTGATATGGTGAGGAAGTTCTGAATAATCACAGGTTAGACCAGCTTGGTGAACCTGAAAATAAGACAATTAAAGATTACATTCTAAGACTTTGTGGTTGTGAAAGATTCTTTAATCAGTAATGGCCCTGCTGACAAATCTTTTAATTTTTTAATGGGAAGAGATTGTTTTTGTCCTTAGCAGTTTCTAAGTCATAGAAGTTATCTGCTCTCTGAAATTTTGGTAGAACTGGCTACATACTCATCTGGGCCTGCTTTTGTAGCACTAATAATTCATGAGTTTTTGATTATGGGTTCACTTAGTTTCCCTGTCTTTTCAGTCATTTTTGATAACTCAAAATTTCTGGTAAATTATATATTTCACTTAAGAGTTTAAAAGTTGATATACAACTGTAATATTCTCCCCTTTTTTTAATCATATTATTTTATTTGCTTTTCAAATGCATGTACCTTATATTCAGAGCTTTGAGAAGAGAGTCTTCCTTCTGCCTTATTGAACATAGTTTTGTTGTGTATCCTTTATGTATAATTGTACATTACTAGTATCTGTATGTTTTAAACGTAAATGGTCTAGGGTTAGCATTAAAGTAGATTATTCCCCAAAACTAGAAATAAGGCTCACTGACTACTATTTTGCAATATTAGCTTTAATGTTTTGAAAACTAGAGCTCAAATATGTCATAATTCTGCCTAAAGTACATAAGAGCAAAGTGTGAAAAACACACTATTTTATTGGTGGTTTTAGATATTCTCCAATGATTTAATCGGTAATGATGGAGTCTTCATGTTCCTTCCCTAAAATAATCAAACCACCCAAGTGTTCTCATCATGCAGCCATAAGCACATCATATTTGGTTATGTGACTAAACCCTTGTCATCCCTTTCTCCGAAAAAACACTACACAGAACCCCCTAACAATAAAAATGTCTAGATGCAATGATTAAAGCACACTTGCCTGAAGATATATTTGATAATATCACATGAACTGAAAGCATTTTCAAACCCCATGCGTCTTCTAACTCTCATTCTTAACATTCTCAAACAAAAATGGGTCTGGGATTACTTCATGGTTAACCAAGAAATTCTTTTGCTGGTATTTTTACTTTTCTAAATTAAGCATTAATAACTTAAACATCAGCTCAAATAAGGAGGTCTGATGGATCCCATAGCCAAAGAAAAGAGTAAAACACCTCTTATTGAAGTAAAAGAGTCCGCATTAAACTAAGAGGCAGAGCAGCTGAAGGTCTCAGTTCTTGGCATAAAATCTGAGAATGAACTTTCAAGTTCGTTTTCTCATCTGAAGTACTGGGTAAAATGGAAAAAAGAAAAAAAGCTTTGAAGACTATAATGTAAAAACAGAAGAAATTATGATTATAAGTGTCTTTGGCCACAGGATTCAGAGCTGACATACTCAAACTGTAGTAGCCACAGCTCTCCTATCTTTTTCTTTTGGTTTCTGTAATCAGAAGTTTTCAAAGAAAGAAAAAAAAGAAGGACAAAGGGAGTATAAATTGAAATCACTAAGAAATGAACAGCTTTAGAGATTCTGCACCTACTCTTCTCTGGTGAAGAGAGATCTGTCGACAAAATTAAAACAGAGTAACAGCACTGTTGCATCGTATATTGAATTGAGAAAAGCATGTTTTTTCTAGAAAACTTTTCCAGTATTCTGCTTTCTAAAAATTGTTCTATTTTTTCACCTATTTCTTTTCTTAGTAATTCATCTAGACTTTAGGAACAGAAATAAAAATAAACTATCTTTTTTTTTCCCCTTAAATTCTTTTATTGGTACATTTTAGGTATTCAATACGTTTACATTTATCATTGGGTGCTTGTACCTGTACCTGATGTATCTTGCTTCTTATTTTTCCCTCGTTACCTGTGTGCCCTTCACCCCCTCCACCCTTCCCTATTTACACAGACTTCATTTCAAAAATGAACTATCTTAACAAAAAGCAAACTGTTCTACTCAAAAAACTGCCTTTAAAAAGGGTTAGTTTTACACTTTAATATAAATATTTACCATTTCATAGTCTGGCACTTCCATACGTTTTTTCAAACTCTGTACAAGTGGAACCAGTGATTCCATTCTGGAAAAAAGCCAACCCACTCAATTAGAAACCACAACTACCTCAACTAAAATTACAGTAGCAAATGATACATTACACTGTACACTTACGTTGGACAACGTGCTTTGTATATTTAGGAAGGAAAGGGAAAGGTGCTTGATGTCACCTTAAAATATGAAGAGATAAATGTTCTCCATTGCATCCCCCCACGTTTCCTTGTGCTACTCTTGTTCCCCACCACTCCAACTAGTCTCCTTGAACCTCTGCGTTCCCAACAGGGCTTCTTGTGGGCGCTGAAGTGCTACCCAGGCACGCTCAGCAGTCACTGAGTTTCGGGGGAAGGGACACTTTAATGGTCTAAATCCAAGATTTTAAGGTATCTATGGTTATTTTTGATATTGTTTAAGTTTTAAACTTGGCTTCAGACTTTGTAAAGTCACAAAATAGTGGGTAGTCTTCAATATTTCTAGGACTCATATCTTGTAATTTATTTTTCTATCTTCCTCTCCCATCATAATTTCAAAAAAAGAATAATTTTTAGGGCCAGGGATTTAGCTCAGTGGTGCCGCTGCCTGTCTCGCATGCATGAGGCCCTGAGTTTGATCCTCGATACAAAAACAAACACAAAACCAAAAAAACAATAATTTTTAGAAGTAACTCCCTATACTGAAAAGAAAAATCATTAACTGATGTTAAAGTGTCTGATCAATGTTTACCGATGTGATTAAACTATTATGAATTATTTTTCCATACCACTGCTTTCCTTAATGAAAATAATGAAAGTTTTGTGATACTTACATTTCAGGAATGTCTGACTATTTTAAAGTAAAATTTACAGTGAGTATGTTCAATAGGTAATACACATCCATGGCAAAAGAAAGTATTTCTTGCTCATATACTTCATCTCTTAGGATTCATCTCGCCAGAAGCAACTACTATCCCAGTTTCAGTATTCTTCCAGAGTGCTGATAAATTATTATTATTATTATTATTATTATTTTTCCCAGTATGGGGGAACTACATCCCCTCCACCTTTAATTTTTAAACTTTGAGACAGGGTCTTGCTACTTTCCCCAGGGTAGGCTCAAACTTGCTATATTCCTGCCCCAGTCTCCCAAGTGGTGGGATTAAAGGCATGTGGCACCATGACCAGCTCACTGATGAATTAGTTTTAATAAGCATCACATGACAAATCTAAGGAGTTGTTCATATTCTGACCTAAACACACTATGATCCTAACCTCTTATTATATGTTATAATACAACAGATTTTTTTTTTTCTTGTTTGGTACAGGGGATCAAACTCGGTCCTTACACTTGCACAGCAGGCGATGAAACCACTGAGCTAAATCCTTGGCCCTACAACAGATTTTTTTATAAGCAATTGTTCACTATAGTGTGTGGGTGACTAATTGTACAATAAGTCAGTCTGGTCTTCCTGTGTGTATAAGGATAAAAATTTTGTTTAATGGTTTTTAGTTTTCTGGCCTAGTTTACAAGACATGTTAGAGAAAAAGTAACTATTCTTTCATATCAGGTTTCATAGGACTTTTCATTATTTTCAAAATAATGTTAAAATATGAGAATCGGCCACATGAATGATTAGATGAAGAATCAGGCCTTCAAATCTTCCTCCCTCATGTCATGAACAGATTGAAAATAAACTCCACGACTTGTAGCTGGGCTATTTGTTTTTTTTTTTTAAGTTGACACATAATTGTACATATTTATAGGATACAATGTGGTACTTCTACTCATGTAAATACTAAGCAACAGTCACATCAGAGTAATTGGTATGTATATCCATTACCTCAAACATTTATCACTTCTTCATTGAGCTATTCTTAAAGGAAGCCAATTTTCCTATTGAATTTACTTGTCAAGTAATTTAATTCTCTGTTGATGGATTAGTTTTTCTTTCTTATTCTATTTAGGACAGGGACTACCCATATATTCATCTTTAATTCTCTGTAAGACCTAGTGTAATATGCTTAGGGTCAGCTCTTGCACAACAACTAAAAGCATGTCCGCTTACGATATGACTTCGGGAAACTTACTTAAAACTCTGTGCCTTGGGTTTCCTCATCTATAAAATGAACACAGTAATAATGTATCCATAGGTCGTAGTAAGGAAAACAATGACACAATGCAAGGGAAATCCTTAGATACAGACTACACTAAAAACACTCAATAAATACTACCACTGGTGAACCTGTGTTGCAATAGGGATTGAACCCAGGGTCTTCACACTGTGCTATAGCTCCAGCCATTTTTATTTTGAGACATGTCTTGCTAAGTTGCTAAGCTGCCCAGGATGGGCTCTAACTTGCAGCCCTCCTGCCTCAGCTTCCAAGAGTGTGTGTGTCACCACACCTGGCTAAATTTTCATTTTTAAAAAGCAATTTACCTATCAATTTTAGGAATTTGTTTAGGACTGACAATTAGTAGACCTGGAGACAAAGAAAATGATTTGGGACCTTACCCAGGGTTTGAAGCCCATCTCTGTACAGTTTCTTCATCATCACCATCACACAAATCAGCAAAAGCTGCTTCTAAGTCTTCTAACTGATGAATTCGAGTATCAACAGTATCTACCAAATCTTCCTTTAAATACATTGAAAAGCTGAGAATATACAATTATTCTTTCAAAAAACAAATGAAATCCTATATAGTGAAAATCCTTAATACATCATTTTCATATACTAATGGGCTTGACCAATAAACAAATGCACACACACAGAATTTGGACAGTCCTTTAAGATCACGCTAAAAAGTTACAAGATACTACTAGACAATAAATGCATAAAATCCAGAAGAAACAAATGGTTGATACCTCAGTTAGGTTGCTAGCAGGCTTTTTAAATTGGTAGAGCTCTTGTAAGATTTTGTATTCCTCCTGGAAAACAAAACATCTAAGGTTAATTTTTTTCAGTGATATGCTTTACATGAAAGACAGATTGCATGTAGACAGAAGGAGTGCATCTTATGTAATTATTCAATGGTTTGTTTTGGAGAATCAGGCAAAATGTATATTATAGATTTCCGCTGTAAACAGAATTTCTTCAGGGCAACTCTTACCTGGTTGGGCATGAGAATAAAGTATAATATTCATTATGGAAGACAAGGTAGCTACTTGGTCATGAGATGAAAATAACATCCCATCATACAGATGGATATATTCTAGGATCTTAATACATTTTAGCTGTTTATAGGAGGTGTACACATCTTTGATGATGATAAAAACGTTTTCAGGGTACAGCCATTTTTCCAGCAGTGGAAGGAAAATGGACACCACTTGAAGACCCTACTTAAGACTTAAAGACATTACTGGAAGCAGATTGGCAACTACAAAACTTCTCTTAGGAAGTTCCACTCAAAGGAAGAAAGATGCCTGCCATACCCAGACTCTGTAGGATAATGCTTCCCCTTGTTTGGCACAACCAGACAGTTTCATTAGTAGGTGGATACACTTGGGCCAAATAACCCTATTTAAGGCTAACGCCAGGGAGAAGTCCTATCTAAGAAGTGAAACTTACTAAATACAATGTTTAGCACTATTCTCAGTGCTTTACTAATCCTACCATCCTATGAGTTGGGTCTGACTGTTTTGCAGTGTTAGGGATGGAACCCAGGGCCTTGTGCATGCTAGGCAAGTACCCTACCACTGAGCTATCTCTTCAACCAGCCACGTATTATTATTCCTAGTTTATAGCTGAAAAACTGCAGGTTAAAAGGTTAAGTAACTTTCCCAAGATCACAGAGTTTATAATAGACATAACAAACAGAATTCTCTACTATCTTTCTTTATGATATTAAAAACATACCTACTAAATTCTTAAGTATAATGAAGACTGAGCATCCTTTATCCAAAATGCTTGGGACCAGAAGTATTTCAGATTTTGGATTTCTTTTTTTTTTTGTGGTACTGGGGATTGAACTCAGAGCCTTTTTACTAAGCTACACGCTCAGCCTTTTTTTAAAATTTTGAGACAGGGTATTGTTAAGTAGCTTAAGCTGCTCAGGCGCAGGCTGGGCTTAAACTTGTGATTTTCCTGCCTCAGCCTCCCACAGTGCTGAGATTATAGTGTGCTAACGTGCCCAGCTTGATTCTGGAGATTTTTGGATTTTGGAATATTCTGGATAGATTTAACTAGTGCATTTCATCATGATTCTCAAAAGATGCTGACTTTTGGAGCATTTTTGATTTTGGAATCAGGAATGCTCAAACTGTATATAATTTTAAAAGATTAAAAAAAAGGAGAGTATGTGATAAAGTGCAGCTTCCTAAACCTAAAATAATTACTATCTGGTTATTTGCAAAAAGTTTCCTATGCCCTAATCTAGAGAAGTACCATGTAATTCTCAAGATCCATGTTTTAAAAATAGTGCCTACCTGAGTGAACATTTCTTTGAAGGGGTTCTTGACAGAAAAAAAATCTAAGTCAATATCTAAAATAAATGCATTGCCTTTCTTCAAAATTTCCAGAATCTCCTGAGTGCAGGCTGTCATCTGGCACTGCTGACCTTCAGAAGAACAAGGGCATGAACACGACGGCTCTTGGCAAGCTTGGCCCATGCTCTGTGCTCCTGTGTCCTTTCCCAGTCCTTCTGAATAAGAGTCACAGTGGGCGAAGGCAGTGTTTGCCGAATCTTCCCATGCTAGCTTGGGCTTCTTTGCAGAAGACACTGCAGCATTTTCTTGATTGGCACAAAGTTCATGAGGCTTTACCATAATTACATCCAATTGTAATGGTTTTTGGTTCTCTAGCTGGTCTTCAGGTACAAAGAGACCATCACTTAGGAAGTAATGATCTGTACTTGTGACCCTGGATTGGAAGAAAAAATCATTTTAAAGAAGAATGGACAAATTAGCTGACATTTCACTGCAGCAGTACAGATACAAGAGATATATTTGACAAAAACTGAGAACTGTCATTAGCATTTGTTCTTTCTGTTCTTTTATAGAAATATCATTCTCCAAATCCTCAGCTGGGCATACCACTGCCCAAAGTGAAGAGTACAATTCAGTTTAGCTATGGCCATTTGACTAAATGCCGGCCAGTGGCGCTGAATGGAAGAAAAGTGTCTGGAGCCTTGCTCTCCCACTCTGCTGGCTGGCAGGCGAACATGGAAGGGGCAAGTTAGCTTAGACTAGGACTCTGGAGACAGTGGAACCTAAACACGGAAGAAAGTAGAGTTCCCCAAACTGTGGAGTTGCCACGTAGGCTTGGACTGTGGTGGTGAACTCTAACAACAGAAAGAAACAAACCCCTTTGCTTAAGCCAGTGTTACTTTAGTTTCTCTCATACCAGCTGAATCTTTATCCAAAATCACTTAAGAGGAAAGCTACAGTTGAAAATAAATTGTCTTCAAAAAAGCTCCCTCTGACATTCAAAGCTTTGTTAGACTCTATACAACCATAATATGTTCAACATGAAAAGCAACCTAAAACTATCCATGCACTTGTAGCATGCATTCCACCAGTTGCAGACCTGTCTCTTTTTCTTATTGTCTCTTTCTCCCTTTCCCTCCTCACCTTTCCTTGACTGGACCCCCAACTCTTTGCCTCAAGTGATCCTTCTGCCTTAGCCTCCCGGGTATCCAGGACTGGGTGCACCACCATGCCCAGGGGAATTTCTGATTCTAGGCACAGTGGCATGTTCTCCACATTTCAACTATATTATGCCTTGGTAAACACTTACAACAGTATAGTCTAGTATACTTTTTCCAGAGATATACCCTCATCAAGCAAAAATGACAGTATTTACATCCCACCTGCCCACACCTAGCATATACAGTTGTATGAAAAATAGATGGATGTTCAAGCTTATTAAAAACTGTACCATCCTGGGCCAGGGATTTAGCTCAGTGGCACCATGCCTATCTTGCAAGCACAAGGTCCTGAGTTCGCTTTCTGGTACCAAAAAAACCCAATAAAAACAAAACTATACCATCCTAAGAGGGTTTATCCCTAACCCAAACTGATTTTCTTTTTTGTTTTTTCTTTTTGGTACTGGGGATCAAACTTGGGACCTTGAGCTTGTGAGGCAGGAGGCAGAACCACTGAGCTAAATCCCTGGCCCTAAATTGATCTTCTTTTTAATAATGGAAATTTTACTTTGAGCCTGTTTATACACACATAATCTCAGACTGCATATATGGACTATTGTTGATTACATAAATTTTTACTTGCAGGATTAACTAAAATCATGAGATAATCAAAATACTCCAAATATTTTTGTCACACAGAGTTTCAAATACTGTGTCAAGTCAAGCAAAATTATTTGATTCTGCATTTTAAATTAGGCCCACTCACTTATAAAATCTACTCTTCCACACAGACCAGTACTATGAACAATATTTATTATATGTTGAGTCTTAATTTTTCTTTCAAATTACATAATAAATTCTATTTTCATATATCACAACAGTTATCTGTGCAAATGGTAAGAAAAACTTATGCTACAGTGGAAACAAAAAGTATCATTTTCAGTAAGAAAGACTATTTCATTTTTAATATATTACCATTTCATCCCACCATTCTTCAGTTCTAGAAAGTTGTGATTATAATGCTTAAACTATCCATCCCATTGCAAGAAAATTTAGAAAGTGAAAAACATACTGATATTTTAAAAGCTATTACAGTATCACATATACAATACATAGAGAACACTGATTAAATAGCTTATGCAACAAAACAGGAACGTGTAACTCAAGTCAGAGGTGCTGTAATTTAATTCAGACTAATTACCCAAAACTAATCATATTAATAAAAAACCTACAATCTATTTATTTATCCATTAGATTTATTAAAAAACACCCAAGTGACATAATATTTGCTTCCTCATTCCTAATTGTTAAGCTTAACACATTAGTGACATTGGAAGGAAACAGAAAAATGTATCATTAAATATACAAATCTATAATGTACTTCAATGACTTAAGCTATCATCAATGCATTTCAATCTCAGAGGATGAAGATCATTATATTAAGAAATCAATTTCACCAGCTATAAAATATAAATGGTACACACAGGAGATCAAGAGGTTTGAAAACCTGTTTTTGGCATGTCAAGAACTCTTTTTGGTGGAGCTAAGGCTGAATCTGACCCTACTTGTGTGTAGAGAATATTAGGAAGTTATTTTAGGAACCCAAAGTAAGACAGAAGCATTCAAATCCTTTCATGCTTATAAATATGAGGACATTACCTGATTGTTGTGGTAGACGTATCTTTGCCTACTAAAAAATGGTGCTTTCCCTCTCTGACTTGCTGCGCCCATGGGGGATGAAGCCACATTACATGGGAAAAGTGGCCAGCATAAACTGCAGGCATAATCCAATTTTCAATACTTAATTCTCTGAAAAACAAATAGAGAAGAAACATTAAAACAAGTGTTTTTTCTCAAATGTCATCTCATCCACGAATTTTAAGCCAGCCGGTCCCAGAATGTGGTGCCTTGGGAGGTTCCCAAGAACTTTTCAGGATGAAAACTAGGTTAAAATGATTTTCTTAAAAATACTAAAGTATTATTTCTCTTTTTCGTTGTATTGACATTTGTCCTGATGGTTCAACAGCAGTGGTGAGTTGATATCCTAAGATTAATCAATACAAGAGCACAAAATCTGTAAGTAGTCATTGCTATTTTTCATTACGAAGGACTAATAAAAAAAAAAGCAGCAGCAGATCACTAGCAAAGTCTTTTCAACTTGTAAAGTTCTGTACTCTAAATTAGAGCTCAGCAAACACTGGCTGGGTTGTTTTTCAAAATAAAGTTTTATGAGAACAGAATTCTTGCCATTTGTTTACACAGCATGTACTGGCTTTCACACTGCAAAGGCAGAAGTAAGTTGTTACAGAGAACATATGGGCAGCAAACCTAAAATATTTACTATCTAGCTCTTTAAGAAAACATTTGTAGTAACTTGTTCTAAGTAATATAAAAAAGGCAAATAAAAACCAAACCTATGGGTTTAGCAAATTCTATTACCCTTTATTATTTATCATACACTCCAAACTGTATTTTAAGCATATAAAAGATTTATTAACAAAAATCACATTACCCAAACAGTGTGTCCTTATCAAACACAGTGTCTGCTGGCATATTCACAGGAATAAGGAGGTCTGGATGGGAGTCGAAGTGTAAAAAACTTATATTACTGGCAGGAAGATGCTTTGATCCTATGGCCCGATATATGAAAGGCAGAACCTGTAAGACACACATGGGCACATTGAGAATTGGAACTAAAATCACGAGCACGCTCAAGTGCAGACACAAACATAACTGCACATAATTTTACCCACACCAAGTTGTTAAAAGTGGCAAGAATATAAAATTGGTTTATTGTAGATAGTTTAATTGAACCTGATTTTTTCCTCACAACTTCCAACTGGCATCTCCAGCTGCCTTCCCGCCCCTATCTCAAATCCATCAGTTAATGAGGGAAAGTAGGTCAGGACTAGGGCCCAAGAACAAACTGCTAGTTAATGCCCATTCCAGCACTAACTGTACGCGTTGGGACCCTAGGTCTTGGGGTCTTCTCAGTACCTTCAGTGTGGCAGCGCTGGGCTAGGCAGTTTGTAAGTTTTCTCTGGTCTTCTCTCATGCCCACAGTCACCATGTCTAGGTCCCGAGAAGCTCAACCCTTTCATTTCTCTTAACTTTCTCCATCAGTAAATCTCTCTTCCTCTTTCTAAAAATACATTTTACATGGTGCTGCAGATCGAGGCCTCAAGCATGCAAGGCAAGGAAGGGGTTCACCACTGAGGTGCATTCCTAGCCCCGATCGTTTTTTATATCCAGAGAACTTCCACGGTCAATTAATGCTACTTTTAACCCAATTCCTCAGATCTATCTACGAGACAGACAGATGGCTTCCAGAAATCTAGCTTAAGGGATCAATTTTACTACTATATAGCAGCACAGTCATGAAATGGGAACGTTTTGTATTGTTAATAACTACTGGGCTCCGCTTTTGTTTTTCTTTTTTCTTTTCTTTTTCACTGTGTATTCCAAGCTGGTCTCGAACTCGGGACCACCCTCCTATCTGGGCTTCTGGTGCGCTCGGATTACAGGAGTGCCTCACCGTGGGTGGCACCGTGATTAAAGACACAGGTAGACTGCACACACAAGAAAGTACGCGTACTGTCCCCGTGCCGTGGATCCGAGCTCGAGTTCTCGGCGTCAGCCTCCCACGGAAACAGCAGGGCTGGGGTAAGAGGCTGGGGACCCCGGACTAGGCAGTCGAACCGCCCGGCTGCCACTCCCGACGCGCCAGGCAGGGCAGCCACCCGCTCACCTCCTGATGATCCTCCACCACCCACACCGGGAGCTCGGGGTAGCGCCGCAGGAAGGCGCGGGGTTCCGCGGAGACACTCATGCCTGGAGGCCGAGGCGCCCGCCGACCACCCGAGAAGGCTGCAGCTGCCGCCCCACCGCCACCTCCGGAGAAAACGCCCGCTCACCCGGTTGGGCTTCCGGATTGGAGGACTAGTAGCTGGGGGCGGGCACTATAGCGTTTGAAGGGGACGATTAGTCGGGACGTCCGTCGCTCTTATTGACGCGCCAATCACCGCGTACAAGGCGCTGCGGTGAGCTGAGGAGTTTCCCCTACTTGGGCCACAGCTTTCTATGGTCGGGTTTTTAATTCCCTTGGCTTCCTGTTCCGGAGGCACGGGCGGAGCTACCGTCTTGGCGGCTGCAGTGTTAGCCTCACTTCTCTTTGCCAGCTACTTGGAGGCTCTTTGTAGGTAAATGGGGTACCTTGTGGGTGTTGGCAGGAGGAGTGTTTCTGAGGGTCCGGATTTAAAGGGGGTGGAGTCCGCTGCTGGGGGGAGGATGCCTGAGGGTTGGTGTCCGACAGCCCCTCTCAGATCTGCAGCTGGAGGCGAGAGAGCGACCCTAGGCCCAGATCCCAGAGGTAAACAGAAGTGAGAAAGGATGCCTTTCATTCATTCGTGGAGCACACGCTGTGGTCCAGGCGGGGCCACCCAGGAGGCCGCGGGGGGGGGGGGGCGAGACCCAGAGCCCAGCACTTGCCTCGTGGGGCCCTCCATCTGGCGGGAAGATGCGAACTGGGGAACAATCGCGGATCGGCCTGTTGACCCGAACTGGGCTGCAGATTCTCCCGGGGAAAGGGGGTTTTCAGTAAAACTGTAGTCACACTTTGCAAACTGTAGTCACACTTTGCAACTCTTCTGCATTGACACACGTTCCTGGAGGCGTTAACTGTTAGAGCTCCCTCACTGTACTTGCTTCCGAAGAGCTAGCTAGGAGCAAGCAGGCGCCAAAACAATTACTTTTACAGTTGCAGCGAATTCCTTGAGTTTTGAGTTAAAATTTGCATTCACAACACAACCTGCCTATGCCTTTTGTAGACCAATAGGTGTTTTGACTGTAGACACATCCAGGAGGCTCTGATAGTGAATGTTAACTTGTTACTTGCTGCATAGGAGTGTTAGTGAACCTGACTGTTGTCCACTTCTAACTCCATCATGCAGCCCTGTGGTCCTCTAGATCCTGTACCATGCCTCCTTTCTTATACTTAATTGCATTATATTATTATTATTTTCTTTTTTTTCTTTTCTGTTGTTGGGGATTTTTTTCCCTGGAGTTTGAACTTAGGGCCTTCACAGTGATTTACATCCAGGTTTTAAAATTTATTTTCTATTTTGAGACAGGATCTGACTTAAGTTGCTCAGGTTGGGCTCAAACTCGTTATCTTCCTCCCTCAGCCTCCCACAGTACAGAGATTACAGGCATGCATCACCATACTTGGCTGGTATATTTTACTTTTAAAAAACACTTGAATTTGGGTTCTGCGTTCTGTGAGTCCTGAAGGCTGTGTGTCTTACTCATCTTTGAGTCCACAGGGCCTGGGACAGTGCCTCAGATGTATAGGTTCGTTAAATGTTGATGAATCAATGGAAAGATCTGCTTTGCAGGGTTGTCCCCTCTCCCCATGGTTTTGATAATGCAAATCTCTTGATATAAGTGGAAGGGAAATGTACACTTGTGACAAAGAAGCATATACTATTGGTGAGACAGTAAAATTTATTGATCACCTACTGTGTACAGGAAGCTCCAGCAGGAGCTGTAAAGGATACAGAACGACTGTGAATCAACCTGTGTCATTAAGGAGCTGATCTAGTAGAGAAGTCCAACATGAACACATGTGACTACAGTATGAGGCAGTCTCTGGTAAGTGCTGTAAGAGAAAAAGTGCGGACCAAGAACGATGGAAGTCTAGAGGGGATGGGTTCATTTCCCAGAGGGAGCCAGGCAAGGCTTCACAGAGGAGGTGGATGGATAGAAATTCTCTGGACAAATTCATAGGGCAGGAGATTGGAGAGGCTGGGAGCAGAGAGCAAGCTGAGTGATGGTAGTTGGCGTATTAATCATCTGGGAGAGTCTGGAGTCGCAAAGGCTTTGTGGGAAGGGTAACAGAGGGTAATCCTGGAGGGAGACATTGGGTTTACATTCTGCAGGGTCTTCAGTGTTAGACACAGAGTTTGAACTTGATTCTCTGGGTGAGTAGCCCGTGATGGTACCATCAGCTGTCTAAGCCCCAGATTTATCCTGAGGGGATGGGAACAAATGACTACTAATCATATAATCATATTATTTCCTACCTTCATATATTAAGCACAATCACTGATACAGCTCAGTAATCTGCAATTATTTTTGTGAACCACTTGAAAGTCTATTTTAAGCCTATTGATAAACTTTTAGTTAGAAAGGCTTTAGAAAGGCATTTCTGAATTAGCATTTTTGGGCTTAATATTTACTTGGTTTTTCTGGAGAAGTTCAAGTATTTAGAATGTTATTTATTTATTTTTGGTTTTTTGAGACAGAGTCTCAAAGTATAGTTCAATTTGTGTAGTTCAGGCTGGATTTGAACTCACTATATAGCTCAGGCTGGTCTCCAACTTTCAGCAACCCTCCTGCCTGAGCCTGTGCTGGGACTGTAGAATGTGCCACCACACCTGGCTAGAAAGTCCTTTCTGTTCTGTTTGTATGTTCTATGGGAAAAGCTAAAAGTGAAAATAAAGCATCATAAATGTCCTGTTAACAAGATTATAGTTATATTTAAATTTGAATGCTGGTCTCCCTGTGGTGTTTGTGTTTGATCCCTGCCTGCCTTATTTTGCAAAGAAGGGAAACTTACATGTGTGGAAGAGATGTAATGGTTTCTTCCCCAGTCTTGTAGCATATTAGAGATCGCTTATGCCAATGTTTTTGGTCTTTTTAGCTACTGATAATTTTGAGTCAGAGACATGCAATAAAGACATCTTCAAATTTAGTTGGAAACTAAATTTTCAGTTTAATGCTGGTAATTAATTGTTTAATGCAGTTAATTTTGTTAGTAGGCTAAGTACATTGGAGAATGCAAAATCAGTGTTAAGATAATTGCAGAAATACTTAATAGCACTGGCAGGCTGGAAACTTTTTCATGTCTATTTTATTCTTTCTGTCCTTTAGAATGTATATTCTCTATGGAAGATGTGACATAGCCAAACAGTACATCATGATGCAAGGCAATACGTGGTGAGTGATAGGAATGGATGTGATCTGAGAGAACAGAGAAGAAGCAAGGCATGTGCTGGGGCATAGAGGGTGGGAGTGATTTAGGTGCATGCGAAGAGGGAATTGTGTTCATTCTTTCAACAGTGGGCACAACACAGTGAAGGTTCTTGTCCAGGGCTGGAACCCAGACCACAGCAGTGAATAGAGCAATGCCAGATCCCTCCCTGGATGAACCTTGCAGCTCTGATGTGCAGGGAGGCATTGAAGGTTGAATTGTGAAGTTACTTGGTGGGTTGTAATTATTGTAGGATTTGCCAGAGAAATACATATTGCTGTGTTGTAGGATCACAACAGAGTGTTGTGAGAGAAGGGAGTGAGGGCCTGAGGCGGTGATGGGAGCTGTCAGAAGGCCAGCGGGGATACTATTTTAGTAGCCAGGCAAGACATGGGAGAAGGGCCGGGGATGTAGCTCAGTGGCACCATGCCAGCCTTGAAAGCGTAAGGTCCTGAGTTTGATCCCTGGTATCAGAAAACAAACAAACAAACAAACAAAGACATGGGGAGAAGTGGATGAATTTGAAGGATTTAGAAGTAAAAATAGTAAGAATTTCTACAGTGAAGTA